GGTTGTTTAGTCATTGGATAGATTGACATTTCCATCTCTGGCAGCATTTTGTCTTTACAACAGGCTGTTTCAGAGCGATGCACATTTAGATATTCAGTACAAAGTAAACAGCACCCTCGTCGTGCAATCAGTGACAATTTGCTGCGAGTGTGAGTGGCGGCGTGTGTTTATCCAATCCCGAGTCTGTTTTGCAGCTCTGCCTGCCTTCTTGCAGTTGTTGTCAGTGACACTTTTTTATCTTGTTCTCATTCGCTCCCTCATAATGGCTTCTCTGTCTCTCCGTCTCAAACTTCATTAATTGTGGTTTTCTTGCAGCGGGCCTTGACGCAAAACAAAGCTCTCCTTGCAATGGGAGCTCATGTTGTGCTTGCATTATTGCATGAAGTTGCTGCCCTCAGATTCTCAGAGGCAGGTGGCATGGGAACTATCTTTACAGAGCATTTAGAGGAGAAGAGAAATGGTTTTAAGACATCAAGTTTTTCTTTTCAAATGTGTTTAAAGCTTCATCGTTCAGTTTTTGATTTTCTGGGCGTTAGGGTTAGGTGTTGTATATGGAGTCGCGCGGTGACAGAAAGTTGTGAAGGCATTTACAAGGTTGTGGTTTCCACTGATGTCGCATTGAAATGCAGATAAGACAGTAATACAAGTGTGATTCAATAAACAAAAGAACTTTGTGACAAGAGGAGTGGTGGGTTCTATTTTAGTTGGTTTAAGAGTTGATCTGAAAAACTTCTATGGTTTGCACTCTTGTAGAAAGAAACTGCTTAACTGGATTTGGGCTGAAAAAACTAACTGAATAGCTTAATGAGTATTTTTTATCATCCATTAACCTGCTGATTATTTTGTTTGATTAATTGTATATGAAAGGTAAAAATTGTGCAATTGTGAAGAAATGGTCATCTCAATTTCTCATAGTCCAAGGTGATGTCTTTCAAATTGCTTGTTTTGTCTGACCAACAGTCCAAAGCTATGAACTTTATTATCATGTATGTCAAAGAAAAGCAGTAAATCCTCATGTTTGAGCAGCTGAAACCAGAGAATGTTTGGCAATAAATGGCCAAGATGATTAATTGATTATCAAAACAGTTGCTAATTAATTTTGTGTCAATCGATATTTTATCAGTTATAAAGTGGACTGGACTGTTACATACAAACACACAGTCTTGGTGTTTTGATGTTAATGAACAACCAGAGAATTCACATTTTCGTGTATTTTACTGTAATTATATGTAATTTTAAATGACATTTACTTTTGGTTGTTGCAGTCTCATACTTTTATCTCACTGTTTAATTCTCTTTTCTAAAACTTGTTGACTTAGCTGTAAATCGCTATAACCTCCTTTAATTGACTGCCAGAAGTCCTGTTTACCTGACAGCGACAGAGCAAACCTTCTGCTGCTCTGGTACATATTGGGCCGACCATGGACCAGCTCTGACCTTACACACTAAATAACACAGGAGATAGAGTTGCAGTCCGATATTCAAGGAGCCACTGAAGCACGCTACACTGAACAGCCCTCGTCACGATACTTGTAACGTGAGCACGGGTGCTCCCAATGCTATGCCACGCTGCAGTGTTCGATGGTTGCTTTGAGATGTGCTGCTAATCAGTCATGTGATCGCCAACGGGCTGTAGGCCACAAGACCTTTTAAAGACGATCTGAGAGTCCATACGGTATGTGGAGATGTAGATGAGAGCAGCAGGTCAGCGCTTTTAGATCAGAGTCAGTCACCTCTTAGTTCATACACGGCAGACTTATGAGAGTGGTTTTCTTTTATTATTTAATTCATTCTGTTTTTAACTTTCCCGTGCCTAGCTGCTCACGATAGTAGAGGCTAGTTTCAGTTGGTTTGACTAATAACTGCTCTGACATGATTCTGATGTGCTGATATAAGTGAGCTTGTTTGATGGTCTTGAGTTGAGTCTTTGATGTGCTGTTAGTAGAACGTTTGCTACCACGTCAGGTTTTGTCATCCGGCACTGTACTTTTCTTTTTTTTTTTTCATGATACTGATGATGATCTTTTTGAATGAGAAGTTAGTTCAGTTCAGTTTTATGTATCATATGTAGGTTAACACAGGGCCAATAGTATAATAAAATGTGTTGGATGAGAAGTGCCTGGTCAGCTCAGCAGTAAGAGCAGAAGTCATATAAAGATAAAGGAAGAGAAAGAGAAATTCAAATAAAAAAGAATAAGATAAATAATTTGTATATGTTAAAGGCTTACAATGCTGTGCCGTTTGGTTTTGACTGTACATTTTCATGCACAAAAGGTCAGTCCATCCCAGTCAGAATAAAATGCTTTGAAAGAAACTGAAAGCATATGAAACGAGTTTGCAGCAACTTAACAGGCCTGCTTTGTTTCTCTCCCTTTTTGGGAACATGAGCTGCTCCGTCCATCTGACATTGTGTGGCAGAGCAGCTATAGAAAAAAATCTCTCCCCAAAACCTAAAATATAACTACACAAAATATACCGTTACAGCGCTGTTTAAATCACGTTGCATGAAGTAAGTGAGAGTGAATGAAACTGAATAGACGGCACTGTGGTAAATGTGTTAAAGTCTAGCAGCACACATTACCAGTTTTAACCCGTTGTGTAGCGAGTAAATCAAACAAACAACTATGAGCTTTTTTGATGGTCCAATTACAGATAAATTACTCGCATTAATAGCAGAGTAGAAAGAGAGTTGTTGTGATGTTGCAATCCTCTAAAACACGTGCCTGTGTGTGGTGTAGCCTGAACTCAAAACCACATTCACCTTCAGCCTCTCAGGTTGTTGTGTCTAATCACAGATGGTTGCTGTTTTTAATATCTT